CTTCATGGCAAGCTGCCATAGAAGGAAAGGGTCTGAAAGTGAACGCTGGAAAGTCCAAGGTCATGGTGTCTTCTGCAGATGCAGGTGAGACAGAGAAAACAGGAGAATACCCCTGTGGAGTTTGCTATACAGGTGTTGGAGCAAACTCAATCAGATGCACCAACTGCAGGAGCTGGGTCCATCGCAGATGCAGTGGAATCTCCGGTAGCCTGCAAGCAGCAAGTAAGACATTCATCTGCAAGAGATGCTTAGGTTTAATCTCACAGAAAGGTACCAGTGGGACTCTGACAGGTCTGGATCTCCATGGAGAGATGTATGAAAATGTGGAGAAGTTCTGCTACCTGGGAGACATGTTAGCTGCCAGAAGAGGCGAGACAGCAGCTGTGACTGCAAGGATCCAAAGTGCTTGGAAAAAGTTCCGCGAACTCTCTCCCTTCCTCACCTCAAGGGTGACCCCTCTAAGAGTGAAAGGGAAGGTGTATGATGCATGTGTAAGAAAATGCATGACATACGGGAGCGAAACATGGGCAATGAAATCGTCTGGTGTACAGCGCTTGGAAAAGGTTGAGATGAGGATGGTGAGGTGGATGTGCAGAACATCACTACATGAAAGAACGAGGAATGAAGTACTCCTTCAGTCAGTGGGCCTGATGGGGGTAGCAGAGGTTATGAGGATTAACAGGCTTAGATGGTATGGACATGTGGCTAGGAGAGAGGCAACACACTGGCTCCAGAGAGCTTTAAATTTTCGAGTCACCGGAAGAAGGCCTCGTGGGAGACCCAGAAAAACCTGGAGGGAAACTGTAGAAGAAGATGCCAAAACATCTGGTATCGCTCACATGGACCCCACAGACAGGAAAGCTTGGAGAGCAGCCATTAAGGCAATGAAATGTCCAACCCCACAAAGTGGGACAAATGGACTCTAAACGCTGATGATGATGATGATGATGAGAGGAGTCTCTCTCTACTTTGAAGTTTGAATTAAATAAATGGATTGACTCGGTTTATGTGACTTGCTTCCCTATTCTCTTTTCATTTTATCATTTTGTGTGGGTAACGTAGGTTAGAAAACCAGTATATATGTTACCACTTATCCTTAATGATTTGCAAAAACATTACACAATTACAAATTAACCAAGTGCACTTTACTCACCACCATCAATATATAGTCTCTGCTAGGCAGAGATTATCAACCACTCGTTTCCTCCATGAGTTACGTGGTGGGTCTTGCTCTTGCAAATATGCAAGACTCAGGTAGTGTATGTTCTACTGTCATGACTTGTTCCAGCTCCAGCTGATGAGCTTCCAAACCCAGCTTCTCACTGTAAATGTCTGTGTTTGGGCGCAGTTGTTGGTGGTGGAATGTCGAGGCACACATTGGTCTCGGGTCTGCCGAGAGCGGATTCAACATTTTGCCTTTTTTCATGTCGTTTCTTTGTCCTCGCAATCATTGCTTTGTTTGTAAATCGAGCATAACAATTCCTATGATATCCATGGGAGGTTGGTCGAGTTGTCCGTAGCAATATATCACGCACCCATGAAATCATGGGCGCAGCCGGCAGCCATCTTATATGTCTGAAGAAGGCGTCTCCCACATACTGCACTCTGATTGGCTCAAATCACATATACATCATTATACAAAGGTTCATGGGACGGATACGTCATACACGCGAAGCCGCTCTGAACGGTAAAAAGCGCCAAATTTGAATTGTGGTTTAGAGCTGCAGACACGAACATTTTGACTTATTATTCCATTATCTATCAAACACAATGAAGTTGGCTTATTTCTCAAGGATATGCCACAACGCTGAACGATAACAGGGGGACGTGCAAGGGCCTGTAAGTGTTTGTTTGGTTGGTTTAGTTAATTGCGATATGTGTGTTTACTATTAATGTTCATCACTGATACTCTCACATACTAGCCAGAACTCTGGCATTGCATTTATCTTGTCTACATAAGTTTTCTCGTCTTTTGTCTAATCTCCCTCCACATTTGTGCAATTCAGTGGTTTTAGATCCTGTTCAAGGTTTTCTTAGAACTCTTAAGAAACAGTGTGTTTTTCCCATCAATTATCTCCTAGTGGTGTTTTCGACTTGCATGTTTCCTCCAACCTTGGTCAACTCCTAATTTACACTCATTGTACAATTTCATGTCAATTCCATACATTTTCCATAATTGCCGTAATTCATAATAACAGGGTTTTTTAATTTTTGTTTGTATTCTTGTTTTGTTTTGTATTGCTATCATTGTCTTAGATTGTCAGCTTTTTTTGTCCATTTTTATACTGTTTTTATCCTGTCTTTTTACATTTTCAGCTCTAATAATGTTTTCATGTACTGTATTTAAGTATTGTTTTGTATATATATATTTTGTTGGTTTTTATTTATTGCTTGTTTCGGTTGTTGTCTTGTGTCGTTGTGTGCAACCCTGTGTTGTCTTGTCTTATGGGGTCCAAACTCACCCAAGTGTGTGATTTACCTGTAATCGGGAGCCCTGGCCATGATCAGATCCCTAACATCAACCCATGAAGATCTCGCAAGAGAAATGAACATTGTGATAAACCGACCCGAAAAGATCCCTTCCTGGCTTACACGTGGTGTGACAATCTTGCTATACAAGAAAGGTGTCACAACAGACCCAAACAAGTCAGGTGTGTTTACAAACACAATTGCCCCGCAATCGTGACTGTTCCCATGACATAACACCACTCTTTGAACATCAACTTACATGTATTTGAGTCACATGGAACGTTCATTGACATCATTAGTGTTTTCTGTAGGTTTTATACAAATTAATTCCTATGATCTCATAATAAATACAAGATTTCTATTGTTTTAGCCACTGTGACCCTGACCCTTGACCTTTCAGCCCCCAAGAACAATTCACAAACCAAATTTGAAGTTCACATGTAAAGTATTTCTCAAGTTATCGCGCTGACAAAATTTCTTTTGTTTTGGCCACTGTGACCTTGACCCTTGACCTTTCAGCCCCAAATGCAATAGGCTTCTTAGGATTACCAAGAACAATCCACAAACCAAATTTGAAGTTCATATGTTAAGTATTTCTCAAGTTATCGCGCTGACAAGATTTGTCAGGACACACACACCCACACACGTGTGTAAATGCCGGCAATCATGGACGCCCCATTGTCCCTAATCCTCTTTCCTTTGTTTGTAGCGACAGCTCTCATTGGTTTTGAACACGATTTGAGATCGTGGACGTTCAGTCAATCGTGGACGTATTGTTTGCGCCCCAATTCTTTTGTCCTACGTCCACGATTGCCGGTGTTGACATACTCACCCACACACCTGTGTAAACACCGGCAATCGTGGACCCCCTATTGCCCCTAATCCTCATTCCTTTGTTTGTACTTTAACTTTTTAGCAACAGCTCTCATTGGTTTTGTGCATGATTTGAGATCATGGACGTTCGGTCTATCGTGGACCCTTTGTTTGTGCCCTAACCCTTTTGTCCCTAGTCCACGATTGCTGGTGTTTACACACGCATACACTCTTGAATTACTATACTCCCGAGGACAGTACTTTGTGTTTCCCTTTGTTCCTTTAATATAACACTCTTCCATAGACTAAGCACACGAACCTACTACAGAGGACCGTTTTTGGTTTCACAGTGATAACTCATGGATGCCTATGTTCCCCAACCCTAACCCTGACCCTAACCCTAAACCTAACCCTGGGGATTTTGGGGAACATCGGGTATATCCCATGTCGGATGTGTGTAATGAACCTTGATACAATGTACATGTAGGTAGCTGAACCTTAGAGAAAATGAATGAGTTTGTTTTTGCATTTAATAAGGGATGTTGAACAATAGAGGACAATAGGGTCTCCAATTCCCAAGAGGGCCCTATTTGGATTCGTGTACAAAACATATGGGAGGTCTTCCTAAAAAAGTATAAACAGAAGTGGGACAATGTTTTCATTTGAAATGTTGCAATACCACATCCAATTTGGCCTTCGGGCCACGATTTTTGTGGCTTAATAAACCAATCATTCATTCCTAGTTTTCCCACCATATAACACGAACAAGACTTGTCATCATGTATCAACTTAAAAACTTGGTATTTTGGTTAGTCTGGGGATCTTCCAGAAACCTGTAATTTGTTTACCCCTTAGGCCCAAGGTCAAGTTTATTATGATTCAAACAACAACAAAAAGTTTTCTCAACATACACATGAACATGTATTACTAAAGCAACTTGAGACTTACCCTGTAGTATGTGTATGTACAGCTCCATTGGTTGTTCTTAGGATAGTCACTTTAGGACCCAGTAGGCCAAAATGTTCTCCTTATTAAAAACAAAATAAAAAAAAAGAGATGATGTCATCATGAAAACTCAAGCTTATTCATATAACCATATTTTTTTCAGGTTTTGATTATTCCAAAATTCTTATTTCCATGTATGCCTTCTTCCAGGCAATATGCTCAAAGGATTCGCTTTTGAGAAATGTCTTGCTTAAGACTGAAAATATTAGGCAACTCCAAATCCAGTCATTTTGCTTAAAATTATGTACATGACTTCTCAACAGAAAAGCGACAACATTTTTTTTATTCTTGGGTCATAGGCATCAATACAGTACATATATAGTCTAAAGAAACAATGACAATGACAGGTAAGTAGGTATCATGTCCTGGGAATAGTCATGGTTGCGGGGCATTTGTGGGTTTTTTTAACACTACTTTTTCTTGTGGTTTGCCATCTTCCTTTGTTTCTTTGTTCTCTCATCCACCCTCCCCTGCATCTTTCCACACCTTTCCCACCTAATCCTCCTTTTGTGTTTCTTCTTTCAGCCCTGCATGTTTGTGTGCACCCCCATGTTAATGTATGTACCTCTGTCATTTCTGTTTTAGCCTCTGAAGAAGAACTTGCTAAGTTCGCAACGTCAGGCCACATTAATTTTAAGATTTATATATTTCAGGTCCATCCAGTCAGTAAGCAGTTTGCAGCAGTTTTACTTTTTTTCATGTTACTACTTTTTCTTGTTACTATTGTAACAGGTATTATCCAACAGCGGAAGATATGGAAACTTACAGGAAATTCAAAGACAGACAGGCAGAGCTTGAACATGCAGACCAATTCATGTTGCAGCTTTGTGAGATTCCCCATCTTAAAACAAGGTTGGATGTGTTGATGGTCATCAATGAACTCCCTGTTCAATATGAAGACCTTGCTCCGGTGCGTATCATTAATAAGAACTCTTTTAACAATTATTTTATTAACTATACCATTGAAGCAAATACTTAAGCTGCATTGATTGGGATGAGTTTAATATTCACATGTAATTATAGAAAGAAACCATTTCTTTCACAAGGTGGGTTTTACTGTCTTTTTGGCTTTTCCACATAGTTGCAGAAAAGCCTTTTTTTGTCTGATTTGTGTGTGCCCTGCTAGCAAAGCCGAAGAAGCTTGCTGTATCTGCCTTGTGCTTGCATATGCCAGGATGTATACATGCACGTGTGTACCACACTTTTGGTTTTACAGCAAAAACTCAAGTTGGATTTGATGTATGTCATGAAACATGAAAGGTATAGCTTGCTAGTGGTACCTTATAGAAGCTCAGTGAGTTTGTACCCCATAAGACAAAGACCAAGGCAATATGGTTAAAACGATAGAAAGGGTTTTCCCAACAAAACTTTAAAAAAAAAACTTTTTATTTCAACTTAAATCTAATTACCTGTAGGTGGGTTAGTCTAGGGATCCCCCTGATTTCTGTTACTTTTGGACCCCATAGGCCAAGGGCCAAGGTCATTGTGGTTAAAACGAAGCATTTCTCAAGAAAAAAAATGGCATATCGAATAGAAACTTAGTTGTTGTGTTATAGATAAATATTTTGGTGATGTCACAATGACGTCATCATGGCATTTATATAGATTGTTGAAGTTGCACAGTTTATCGCCACATCTTAGTAATACAACCAGCTAAATTTGCAATTCCTTTTGTAATAGGTTTGTTAGGTGATATATATTTGGACAAAAATGTGAGAAGTGTATGATGCAGTTGACATTTGTTTATGTCATTTCTTGAAGCAAGCACAATTTTCTTTTGGATGTTTGATGATTTAATTTCCACATTACTTGATTTGAGAAGTAATCTCTGAAAGTAAAACAAATTACTTGTTGATAGATTCCCAAAATTATTTTGAGTTTTCTTTGATTTTCTTTGATTGATCTGAAAGTTTACAAAAAGGTTTGCCATTTTTGTACAAAAGACTTGTGGCGACTTGAGTCTAAGTAAGGTGGAATTTTATTTAAGAAAGAAGAAGTTGGAGAAGGGGTAGATATGTCCTTTTGGATCCCTTTCGTCAAGTCATCTTCATTCTCATTGTTCAAGCATTGAGAGTAAAAGTCTTCATGTTTCATTTAGCATCAAGTCAACAAATCCCTCCCAACTATATCCGTCAAGTCAAGCCAAGTCAAGTCAAGTCTCCAAGTCACGTCAAGTCTCCAAGTCGCGTCAAGTCGCGTCAAGTCAAGTCAAGACAAGTCTGCAACTACTCATCAAGATAGGCCCCCTTAAGTCTTCCCTTTTATATTCACTGTATAGTTGTATTATTTTGTTTATTAATATGATATTAGAACCCTGGGTTTTCATTTTATAATATAGGTATTCTCTATGTGAGGATATTTATATTAGCATACAGCGTATGAAAATTTTTCTCAATTTAGCCAGAAACGAATAAAAGCCACTGGTTTATAGCAAAATATAAATAAAGCGTAACCGGTAAAAATCAATTGTGTCGGCTTGAACGCATTGACAAATCATGCCCGCTACACATGTTTTGAAAACGATGCATCAACCAAAATGCAGTGAAAGGATAATATCAATAAATGTGGCTGGCCAACGCTGTTTGTATCTTATCCACAGCTATTGTGAATTGTCGTGCCAGCTCTCCTGCGTCAGGCTGGTTTGGTTGGTAGCGTGCCGTCCCGATGGTATCCTATCCCTGCAGTGGTGGGCCACAGCACCAGGCTATCCCCGCTTCTCGGTTGACCGGATCAGCCAGTAGTAGTCAGGGCAGTGGAATGGGAGTGGGAACCGGGAATCGGAATGTGGAGTCGTAGGAAGTGGGTTGAGTCGGAATGTGGGTGGAGTAGGAATGGGGCGGAATAGGGGGAGTCGGAATGTGGGTGGAGAAGGAATGTGGCGGAATAGGCGGAGTCGGAATGTGGGCGGAGTCGGCGGAGTCGGAATGTGGGTGGAGCAACTAATCTTCCTTGGGACTTTGCCCTGGACTTGGTCCTAAGTAGACCCTATACCCTAAGACAGACTAGTAATTGGTGAACAGAAACAGTAATCAAGTACGGTGGTCATGCATCATCATCATCCGTCATGTCATTCCACTCAATCAAGAACCCTAGCAATTATTCTAATCATTGGAGAATCAAGCAATCAAGTGACTAAATCCTAGCCCTGCAACTCCTTTTGTAGACTTTGAGCCCCATAAGCTAGTGTGCAACTTCTCTTTGCCATACAACAGTGCATAAACTCAATTGACCAATCAGAAACAAGGATTCCTTATATGCAAAGTGTGGGTGATTCACAGTGTGCTAGTGTATTTAAAACATACAGTTGGTGACTTAATTCCTATTCCGTCACACTATCCTGTTACTTTGTATGGTCTGTCAATGGAAAGTGAACTGCGGTTGCCACCTCAACGGAACTCTGCAGAATGTTGCCCAGACAATCAGGCAGCAGGGGTGAGGAGTGTTCTATTGGGCCATGAAGCAATAAAAAAGGAAGGAGTTCGAATGGCCCGCCAAATCCCCTTAAGACATTAGCAGCCTCCGGATCATACTCGGCATAAAACGTCTTGACAAGGTTACTAATACCATGCTGTACAACATCAGCCAGCAACAACCATTAATACACGCCATCCAAAAACGACAACTCAGATGGGTTGGTCACATCCTACGGAAGCCTATAGGCAAGCCAGTTAACATCTATGCTCTATACTCCCCATCTCATGGCCAATGCAGAGGAGGTCGTCAGCGCCTACTCTACCCAGAGTACATTGCTAGACTATTGACACAGGATTTTCTGCTCTCCCCGCTAGAGATCCGGAGACTAGCACAAAACAGAGATGAATGGGGAAACCTTGTGTCCGTCTGCTGCGCAGTCGACTGATGATGATGATGATGTGACCATGCACAAACCCAGTGGAGGTTTTTCACAGCACGAGCAGATTTACAACTGCGAGAAGTGCCTTTGTGCACAGACTCCCATGCCGCACATCGCCTAACTGGAGTAATGAAATCTCCACAGCTACTTATTACTAGAGTAGCCATTGGTAAACAAACGAATGAAGACATGCGCAGTAGATTCCTAGCCATCTGTACCATGCGCCATCTTTATCGATGAATGTAACGAAAAATTCCAAGCTTGCCTGTCTTTTTTGCATCAAAATCTGGACCTTCCTTTGCCCAGATTCAGTTAGTTTTATATGAACGTGTAGACAGAGAAATGGATTTTTATGAAATGATATTTATATGAATAACAACAATTCCAAAAGGTTCAGGAAGACCAATCTTCGTCAGAGCATAAATGGAAGGTTTTTCTAACGATTTGCAAGTGGCATTAAAGTGTGCGGTAGCATACGGGAATGTTATGACGCGACAAAAATTGATCATTTTAAGAACTTGCAGGCATTTGTTTCTTACCTGCAGCAGTCATCCCCATGTTGAGTCATGTTCTTTGTAGCTTCTTTACGAAAGCCCATTAGTGCCCCAACAAAAATTGGGGGGGGGGAAGTTTGTTTGTTTTTTTGGGAAAGTTTTTTGGCGGCTGAGCTGCTTTTGCCTTGCCTAATGTGAAGTTGGAGTGTAGGCTACAGTTAAACGAAAGATTGAAAGATTGTTACTCCTTCAAATTCAGTTAAATATCTGGGCACATAACACTCGATCAGAGTCTAACTGGTGAGAACATTGCAAATTCTGTGATCAAAAAAGCCTGTGCTAGATTGCAATTTCTTTAAAGACATACTCACTGTTTGAATGAGAGATCCCGCAAAACACTCTGTTCTGCTCTCATACAATGTCATTTTGACTATTGTTGTTCATCCTGGTGTGGAGGGGGGGTGAGCTACGGCGGGAACAGTTGACGGGTAGTAAATGATGGTGATGAGGCTAGGACTACTACAGGAAGCAGGGGTGCTGATGGATTTGGGATGAGGAAGGAAGAGAGTCAGGAGGCGGTATAATTCTGAACTGTCCCTTTAATTTCCCTCCACTATGGGTTCTGAGTTGGCAGATTTTGTAGGACGCAACCATGCATGTGTCACAAGTCCCTTGGCGATTTTGACCGCGGACTCTGCTTTTCCGTTGGATTTGGAGTGGTAGGGGCTTGAGGTAGTGTGTTCAAAGTCCCAGTCATTCGCGAACTGAGTGAACTCGCATGACACGTAGTTTGGTCCGTTGTCTGTGATCAAGGTGTGAGGAATGCCGTGGGTGGCAAACACTGGCTTCAGTTCCTTGATTAGCGACTTGGAAGTCATGTCTTCCAGGGCGCGCACGTCGATGTAGTCTGAGTAGAGGTCTACTAGTACACAGTAGTTTTGTCCATTGACCTCAAAACAGTCACTCGCGACTAACTGCCACGGTGTTTTGGGTACTGGGTGCGTCATAAGGGGTTCCTTTGGGAGAGCTGGTTGTGACTCCTGGCAGATTGCGCAGCGTTGGACTGCCTCCACCAGTTCTGTGTGCATACGTGGCCAGTACATTATGTCTCGTGCAGTGTTGGTTGTGTACTGCACGCCCATGTGAGATGCATGTGCCCTTGCTGTCATGTCTGCATGGAGAGCTGTTGGGATTACAATACGCGTTCCGCGAAAGATGAGCCCGTTTTGTGTTGACAGCTCATCTCTGTATGGCCAGTATTCCCTGATACACAAGGGAACTTGAGCCTTGTCCCCTGGCCAGCCTGCTTGGATGACCTGCATCAGCGTTTGTAGGGTTTGGTCAGCGAGCGTTGCCTTTTTCACTCTCTGCAGACGCTCGTCTGTGACGAAGATGGTTGGTTCGATGTTCTCCAACTCCATGTTGAGCTTCTGCTCCTGAGTGACGGAGAAGATCAGATAGTCTGGTGTCTGATCTGTGACTTGTCGTGTTGGCAACGATGCTCGCGACAGTGTATCGCTCAAGTACATTCGCGAACCCTGCTTGTACTCTACGTGTAGTGAG